ACAAGTGAAAATGGCAAATCCGCACGTGTATCAAACGACGTTTTTTAATACATTTGCGAAAAAACTACATTGAAAGTAAAATAAAACAGTATTTAAACAAAACTCATTTTCTGCTAGTAAATTAAAATAATGAAATACAACCACTGCAACCATTAGTTAAAATGGGAATCTAATTCTAACGTGCTGTTTTTGTTTATTTTCTGTAATATCGGTCTGTAACCACTTTTCTTATTATGAAGTCCTGGTACTTTTGTTTAAACTTCTTTAGGAACCCGTGCACGGTAGTGAGATACAATTTATCTGTAATACATAGAACAAATAAATATATACATAAAAATCTCGCCTGTCACCCATTCAGGGGTAGGCAGAGACTGTGGACCTCCACTCGATACGTTCATTATATAGTATTTGTAAATAAATATAAGTTTTAATGACGAATGACTTATGTACGTCACGAAGCACATAAATATTAAATAAATATACAACTTCTTTAGTTCTGTGTTTAAGACTTAAAACAACAGTAAATTAAAAAAAACTGGAAAGTAAAAAGCACTAGTGCGAGAAATCCAACTTTCCGCACGATTTCTAGTGCGAAAAATACCACGTTTTGAGCAACTGTATTAAAAATAACATTTCATGTATTCATATTTCAAATAAATTTTTTGTTATCATTTGTTTATTATTAAATATTCCAAACCACTTTATTTTTAAAACTCTTGCAACGAATAAGAGAAGCTTTTTAATAATAAAAATATTTTAATATGTGGCACTGCTAATAGAATAGCGTATTAACTCAAAAAGTTAATTTATTCAGAATATCTGAAGAAAAAATTACTCAGTTCCCGTGAAAGATTATTATAATTTACGTATAGGTTAATATTTATTAGATAAACAACTACTTGCCAATTAGAAGTATATTTAAAAATAAAAGTTTAAAAATAATTTTATATTTTTGAGTGCGGACTGTTTTATTCAGAAATAGCTCACAAAGCGTTTGTCTTATTCTGGGTTAAGTAGATATATTTTAATGGTTTCTTACAATATTCTAACGACAATTTTATTGGCGTGTAGAGAAACAAATGGTACGTTCAGAAATGGTATAATCTTGAATTTCACATATTTTGAGTTACAAAATTTTTCTCTATTGTTTTCGGTATTTATATGTTCTGGTATTTAATTATAAGTTTCTAATCCCAATAGCAAAGGGACTACAGCGAATTAAATTAAATTTTGAAGTCGGGGGGTAATCTTTGGCGTGGACGCAAACGCTCTGGCCTATCGTAACGTGGTAACAGGTATTTTCTTTGACAAAAATACTTATTTCTCATATATACAAAATAGTATTCCAAGGTAAAATGGTTAGAATACAAAAATAGTGTACTCAACGAAGAAAAGAATTTTTCCCCAGTATTACAAATAAGGACAAAATATGGAGGAGATCCCAGGTTCAATTCCCGGTAGGACCAAATTCAATAATGAACTTTTCTAAATTCGCTCGAGACTGGGTATTCTAGGGTAGTGCCACAGAGTTAATGCTGTTGCTCTTGTACTCAGGAAATGTCCAAGTTTGAAATCTGTATTTTGACACTTTAGTAGCACTAGAGCTCCTTGTGAAAATGTTCGTCCAGAGAAATAGTACCTATTCTGCTGCCATGAAGAAATGTGAGCATTACTTACATTACTGCGTTCCGGTTTGGAAGGGTAAAGGGTGCTTGTGACATTACAAGCACATGATTCTTGTCAACTTATATCTTAGAAGAACGGGAGTAGTGGCAATGCCCCTCAGATCTTTGTTATTTAATATTTTAGCGGCACTGCAATTTTTACGGACAGGCGTGTCGCTTACTACCAACTTGTTCGTCCCGTCACTTGGCGTAATAAAAAAAGCTTTTTTCTTATCATCCTGATGGACCGCCATCGCTAGCTGTCAAATCAATCTAACCAATGAGAAAAAATCCCATTGGCCAAACAAGTTTAACCACCAATCTGTCCAAAGGGAAACACTGGTTATTAATAAGATTGGCTGGAACCATTGACTTACAAATAAATGGACGAACTTACAAATAAATGGACGACGGGTCTAATACAAAAACCACGAAAAAAATGTCCCAAGTCAACCTATTTAAACGTAGTGACATGTAAAGTATTAAAAGCACATTCGTTGAACACACACACACAGACGTTCAATTTAAATTGTAATGTCATCGCAGCACTGTCTAATTTTGCTTGCTTCGCTGTCAGTCGAACAAACGAAGACTAAAGCGGGAATGACGCTCTGTATACGATTTTAACGCCCTATAAGTTCAGACACTTTTTAGCGCGGACCCGACGTCCATATATAATAGGGGTTAAAGTATGAAATTGCCGAAATGTACTGAAAATCTAAATTGTTTATTTTTTAAATTTTTAACAAATTTATTTAATCAAAATAGTTGCCATTATTATCTATACATTGCTGCCATCTAATGGGAAGGTTATTAATGCCTTTGCGATAGAACTCCGACGATCTAGACTGCACAAACTGTGTGAAAGCATTTTGTACTGCCTCCTGGGAAGAAAACTTCTTGTCACGTAGATAATTGTCCAAATCACGAAAAAAATTGTAGTCCGTTGGAGCAAGGTCTGGTGAATACGGAGGATGACGAATGGTTTCTAACTGCAGTTCCTGAAGGGTCAAAATGGTTTCTCGTGCTGTGTGAGGTCTCGCGTTGTCGTGGAGCAATAATGGTGAAGATCGATTCATGAGTCGGGGCTGTTTTACTGCTAGTTTTGTCAACATGGTTCGAAGTTCGGCACAATAGACATCTGCCGTTATTGCTTGACCAGATCGGAGAAAATTATAGTGAATAACACCATGCTGAGACCACCAAACAGTTACCATTACCTTTTTATTGGTAAGTTTTGCTTTAGGACACTGTTGTGGCATTTGACCTGGGGTCAGCCATTGCATTTTTCTTTTCCGGTTATCATAAAGAATCCACTTTTCATCACATGTTACAATTCGATCCAATATTCCTTCATTTCTGTACCGGTTCAACAAGGCAACACAAGTTTCAACACGCGTTTCTTTCTGCAGATCAGTCAAATCATGAGGCACCCATTTTTCGTATTTTTTTATTTTATTGATTTGACGCAAGTGAGTCAATATTGTGGGTAAGGTAACGTTAAACCATGCCGCTAATTCCTGGGTAGTTTGACTAGGATCGGCTTCCACTATCTCTCTTAATTCATCGTTATTCACCTGTGTGGGCGGTCTTCCTCGTGGCTCGTTCTTTAAGTCGAAATTTCCACCACGAAAGCGTTTAAACCAAAATCGCACGGTGCGTTCATTAGTAGACCCCTCTCCAAACGCAGCATTGATATTGCGGGCTGTTTCTGCCGCGTTAGTTCCGCGTCGGAACTCGTATTCAAAAATCACTCGAATTTTCGCAGTATCCATCTTTCTTGTCTAAATTGAATAACAAAAACAATTGAAAGTCGATATTCAAATATTTCAAATTTAAAAAAAAATCACAGAAACCATTTGAAAAAAGTTTCATTCGAAAACCTCAAACCATGAAGATTCTATGAAAATTCAAAGAACCTATTGCAATAAAACGGCAATTTCATACTTTAACCCCTAATATATAATTGTAAGTCAATGAACCAATGGGAAAAAATCCCATTGGCCAGACAAGTTTAACCCCCAATCTGTCCAAAGGGAAACACTGGTTATTAATTACACAATTATTAAGTACACAATTATTGTTAATTTAGGCAAGTGCACAAGAAAAATAAATTGCTTTAATTGTTGTTGAATACAGTTTATTAAACAATAAAATTGCTACAATATAAGGTATACAACTAATACAAGTAAAGACGATATTATTATAAAATTACTTTGTTAACACAAGTTATATAATATTTTTGATATTTAACGAATTTTAATGCATGTAAAGCGTTTGTTGTCTGTGATAATGTAACATTTTATATTTATAGAAGGATAGATAGATAATAATAATAACGCATATTCATAGCCCCACTCTAGAAAACCTTGTATCGCGGGCGCCATGGACACACATAGACAATCACAAATTACACGAACTCACGAGAGAAATAAATGTAGGCCATACAAATATTTCTCCCGGCCCGGGAATCGAACCACGTGGTAGACCAGCACGGCAATCCTTCGATCACTGAGGCAGTAAATCAGGAGGCAGTATAGGAGGAAAATTAATGTTATACGCGTTATTAGTTTATATCACTACCTGTCTAAGACAGTTGTTTCTTGACACATAAATAAGCCTAGCTCTAAAATATCTTGCTAAACTAAATGTTACTATTATTGCTAAATAATAATGTACTCCTGATATTAACAGAACGTCTTTTATTTACACTATCCAAAATTGCTAAAACTTGTCCTGTTCACTTTTCCATTTAGTTGTTATTTTTGTTTTCTATTAACCTTTAAAGGATAATATTTGATAGTCGTTGTCCTTAAAATGGCTTTTAATAATATCCTTCCCAAATTTTCACCGCTTGTTCAAGCCTTTTTGGCCTACTCTTTAACGTTCTAAGTAATTTGTCAAAGCCAACATCCGTCGGATGGGCTAATCGTCTGAATTTGGCCGCGCTGTCGTCGCTCTTCCCCCAACAAGCTTGAGATTGATTAGTTCTGGTACAATCCCAGAGATCAATTAGCTAAGAGAATTTCAAATTGTATTGTTAAACTAATTTCTTGCATCAGCCAGTATATTTAAATTTATTCCATGTATATTATGATTTTGAGGTTTTTAATGGTTTCTAATCGTCCTGATTTTCCTCTAACGCTGAATAAGTGAATGCAAAGGATTCTCTTAGCATTATATTTTAATATTTGTAATAGTCTCAGAGAAAGATCCTTTATAACAGATTGACCGAACGTTTGCAGTTAATGCGTGAAGTCAATCTCGACTGCATGAAGTCGGTTTCAATTGCATGCAGTGAAGTCATTATCAACTTCATGTAGTCTAGGTGTCGGATAACGATTGCATGCATTAACTGCATGCAATAGAAACCGATTTCATGCAGTATATAATGCGTGAAGTTGATTACGACTTCACGCATCAACTGTTACTGCAAAAAATTAGTTTTTCAAAATACAAATCCTGTTTCAGTTTCACTGTAAAAATAAATCATTAAAATAAATTATATCTAAATCAAAATATATAGAAATGTTAGTTCACTTTTTGGCTGTGTTGGTGCGGTTGTCGTCACTTGTCTCTAAGATTAATTGAAGAGCTCCACAATATAGCAGTGTAGATGAGATTCAGATATAGATCGGGCCTTGTGTTAAGATTATAGGATTAAAAGTGATTTATCCTAAACAATTTAAGCATACGTTCACTTTATTTATTTAATGGAATTACGAAGTTGGTAGTACGAAGGAGGTGGCACCGGTGGAAAATTATAATCATACTTCCCTTGTTTATTATCCTCGAATAATGCCCTCCAGAGATTTTCCTTCTCCTTCACGCGGATGCTCTCTTCAGCGCAAGCCACAAACGCCTCAAAAAATTCCAAAAAAGTCATTTCGACATTTAAAGTTATAATTGTTTCGTTATATTGTATTTGTGGAAATATTTGTGCGAATATATTGACCAATGTATACGTAGAAAGATTGGAGAAATTAAAAAGAACTAAATCGTTACAACCAGCAAATTTGGGTCCATCGAAATTCCTTGTATAATTTTCGAACAGAGGTATGTCGTCTGAAATTACAAACATTTATTGTATGTTTATGTAAACACTTTATTACATAAGAAAACAAATTACAAATTTGAAACGTTAGTGTACAAAGGCGAGCTTATTCCACAAAGGGATTTCTTACAACTAACCTTTGAATAATTGAAAGAAAAGTCGGCTCGTGAGTTGGCAATAAAATTTATTAAATCATAAAAATTAACGCTACATACTCGATAATTACAAGGATAAATTTATTATATCAAATGTATATAAGAATACATAATATTAAGCAAATGTTGATGCACTAATACATATAAAATATATAGTAAAATAAATGTATAAAATAAAACTATAAATAAATATATGAAATTATATAAATAGTGTACCTAACACGGAAGATACAGCGGAAACCACAAATTTGGAATTAATTAGCAGTTTATGTACATTAAATATGCTCTCACATAAAAGTAGTACAAACTAGTCAATTCGTGTTAATATAACAATTAAAGAGTTATAAGTAATTTTTAAGAAAATCTTTAAAGATATTCACTTCACTGCCGACCTCATTTTACTATATTTTCAACAAAGAACGCGTTGGTATAGAAACTTAATTCAAGAAGGCACTCGATGAAAGTACGACAAGACTCGATAGGTTCTCTAGGTTCCCAACAGTCAAAAAGTTCGTAAAACATAATATATTTGATTAGTGTTACTAACCCATAACATAGCTGATTTGATCCGTAAATATATAGGCGTTGTGCCCTAGACATATGTCTTCAGGACCCTCGCAGATTTTCACGGGCGAGAATACTGTGTCACAAGGCAATCTTCGAACAGAACAGATGAATTTGCGCACGGTATGAGGCTCTCCTAATGTAAGGTACACGTCGTATAAAGGTTTTAGTGGAATAAAGGAGCCGAAACCAAAAGATAAACGTCCTGAAATAATATAATTTCTATTAAACAGGTAGGCCATAAAATGGTGGTTACATTTTTGAACGATCACTTACCACACCGTCGTAGGTATCCTGGCAACACGTCTTCATCCATAAATTTTCTAAACGCCGTTGCGACTATCGTATCGGGCCTTGGGCCTGGCAATACTTTGCGGGCGTATAATTTGGAAGCGACAGCTATTAGGCTTTGGAGGAATTGCCAGAAAAATATTTTCTTAAAAGGATTGTGTGGTGACTTAAAAAGCCACGCAGGGTTTGAAAAAAGTATTTTATCAATTTCAACAAGTGTCAATCCTTTCTTATGTATATTACAATCCCAGTAAAATTGCCAGAAAAACAATCTTATGAGTTGTCGCGAAGAGGAAACCGGTTCATCCTGACATATCTTAGAGTACTTGTCATAAATTTTAATCAAACTCGTTTGGTAAGTCTTGACTGCGTTGCCAAGAGCGATTTCTTCAAAAGTAAGCGTATTTTCGTCATACTCCGAATTTATCGTAATCACCTGTTTTAATTTCATATACTTTAGTGATTTATCTATTCCTACATATTTATTGTTTTGTATGAAGTCATTTATTAATGATATTTTGATTTCAGCCTCTCTGTCTAAGTTCTCATAAGCTTTCTCAATATGGTACCTCAATCCATAACCTTCGTTACAGATATCAAATTGCAAAGGTTTTAGCATTCGAACATTATCAGACGTCAGCTCCGGCTGATCGAGATTTTCAGGCTCTATTGCGATGTCATCGTGGAATAATTTTAGGCCTTGAAGTATCAGTCCGTCATTGGTGACCATTTTACCAATTCCATTTTTTTTGTTATTTCTAAAAGTTCCTCTGTAGTACGCACCCCATTTATAACCAAAATTAATTTTGCCTGCACCATGTCGTTGCCCCTTTTGGAAATTACCTCGGTACACGTTTATAGCCGGCAACGTTAAGGTATTGTTGCATTCTCCATTCCATATGTGAGTACCACATCCCGATATATGGCCATATATCCAGCCGCCTTCGTAAAACTGTCAATGGGGACATCATAGTAACATCACAGTGAAAAAATGTTGATGAAATTGTTGATTAATGAAAGAAAACATGGACAAACTACACGCGGGGAAAGGTCGACTTTGACGTACATGTCTTAAGATAATAATAATCCTTAACAAAATTCTTCAGATTAAATAAGTGGAGATTTGGTTCCACCTACACTTACAGGTCACACACACAGTCGTGATGGTATGTACATAATTATGTATGTTAGAAAAAGAAAATTATTCTTAATCTCTAAACGACCGAGAACGCAATGTTGCAGTTATTGTAATGAAAACTTACATCGTGATTGGGCCAAATCATTAGCCCTTTGCCATTTCTTACGTATCTATCCCACTCGCCTTCGTATCCGCTAACTGCGCAGTATTCCCGGGCTCCGTAGCCATGACGAACATTCTAAAGAGTTTTTTAAAAGTTTTTGAAATCCCCTGACTTCGCTGTTTGATTTTTTTTTAAACAGTGGTGGAATTTTAAAATTTTATTCGAAATGAAAATTTCAAGGCATTATACAGTAGAAGTTACTTACGTGTACCCAATCTCCATCGTAATTATTTTTGAATGTTCCATCGTAATACATAGTTCCCTTTCCATGTTTAGTTCCTTTGTCCCATTCTCCAATATAGGAGGACTGTTTACGAGAGTTTACGTATAACCCTTTACCGTGCCGTATATTGCCGACGAAGTCTCCTTCATACCAAGTGTCATCTTTCCAGCATATTTTGCCTTTTCCTTTGATCTCATTGTAATGGAATTTGCCCTGTGCGAAAACTATGATAAGTAGCACATCCATTAGAATATTATCGTACATATTACATTTTAAATAGATATTATGGTATTTGTGACAGTCCGCATGACAAGAAATTAATAATTAAAAAAAATATATATTACATTATTATTAGGAAGTGCTGAGTTTCATTATATATGACCCAAAAATGACAGTCGTAGATATACAAATATTTAGCCCGCTCCCTCTTTTCTTCTTTTATTACCGGCGAAGTGCGCATATAACAAGATTCTCATCAGCTTGTCTTAATAAATTGGTTAATTTAGGCATAATATAATATATCAGTCTACATCAATAATATTTTCATCTATTCGAACAAACTGTGTGGCTAGAATGGTTTTCCTGGCCTAGCTGTTTTATCTGACAAGGCAATGCTGTCAGTCACACTTCCTGAGTTACAGTTTCTTCCACTCCTATGAAAAAACGACCACATTCCATGCAGTTTCAATTATGTCAATTTACATCTTACGCTATTACAAATTTATTGAAATCAATATATGTGGGTTAAAGTAATCCAAAGTACAGGTAAATGTAAAGCAAGTAGCTCATCTTGGTGGCAAAAATAACGGCAAGAGTGACGTTCGAACAATTTGTTTTGGTTATAACTATATATATATATATATATATATAGCGAGGAAGACCTAGAATGGCGTGCAGTTAATAAATAGAGAAATTATCAAAATGAGCAGCATTGAAGAGACTACGACGAGTGGAAGAGTCTATACCGACAAGAGCCTAGTTCTTAAATATGATGATGTTCTTTAGTTACATGTTAGTGATTGCCAAATCGTTCATGCGTAATAGTATTCCTGTTTTAGAAAAACAATTTACTGTTTTAGTGTTTATCTATTATTTTTGGTGTTATCGTTCTATTTATTTTTGTTGAAATTTAATATTATGAAATATTGCATTGATTTTCCATTAATGGATGGCTGTATAAATAACCGACTTTCTGTTGAAAATTTTTCCTTTCCGAACCACTTTCCCTTGTGACAATACCAATTCTTCGTTACTGGATGGTACTAACTGTGATAAACCTGCTTGTTGATATGTAACAAAATTGTGAATAAATAAATATCATCAATATATGTACATATTCTTTGTTTGCATGTTTATGTCATAAAGTAGTAAAGAGTGCCATTATTATTCATCTGCGCTATTATTCATAACGCTAAAAGTTTCATTCGTTGTTATGCTAACGCCCGCAAAGTTTCTGAAGTATAACAACCATTTTAAAATATCAGGTGGGCCAGTTGTTTCAACAAAAGTGTCTATGCATGAAAAGACGATGGTTGTATTTCCAAAAAACGTAATGCTACCGACTGAAAAAAAAGTTATTTCTTTCTTTTCAGTAGTATTACATCGCTTGCCGGGTGAACCAATATTTTAAACTTACATAGTAAACTGTTCCATTAGTCCACTGGTAGCGACCTTCACCGTGCATATAGTTCATTGAAATATCACCTTCGTACCTATTACCATTGTGGAAATGGATAATAGCTCTCTGGTCCGGCGGAGAAAACCAAACTTGTTGCATTGGGTCGAGCTGTCGTTAAAATAATTTTGATTGGTGTAAACCAATAAATTTAATTTAACCCCTAATTTGCCACGCTTACACGGAGTATTTTCTTTAAGTGAATGGGACTGCTATTGAGGTACCACCTTACCAGCAAAAAAAAAAAACAATAATCGAAATCGATTCACAAATTGGAGTCATCGTGTAACATTCACTAAAAAAACGCAGTCGAATTGAGATCCCCCTCCTTTTTTTAAAGTCGGTTAATAAATAAATATAGACTTAAATATTTAAATGAAACGTACGTACTGTATAATCCACAACATCCATTATGGATACACTCTTTGTCGTCTTTGAACTTTTACCTGAAAGATAAACATTAAGAAATCATTATAATCATTCACCAATAGGTATACGTTTATTGCAATATCATAAGTATTATAAGTATGTTATGTAAAATAGTTTATCCAGGGAAGTACTGCCTAATTATGTCATGTGAGCATTACCGGTTTTGAAAGGTGAAACTACAGATACTTGGGATTTATCAACTTTGTCTCAAAATCCCCTTGCCCGAAATAATAAAACAATGCCCGTCACATAGTGGCAGTTCCCCTCAAATTTTTGAGATATTAAGCCCAGAGAGGCACTGTAATTGTTGTCGGTACGCGTGTCGCTTATCATTAAGCGAACAACTTGTTCATTACGTCACTTGATATCATAAAATATAAAAACGTACGTGTGGTTTTCTTTTTCTCTCCAATATCGCTTAATGTGTTACTTAAAGGAATTCTTGTAGCATTTTCTCCCTTTATTTCGATAGTTTTCCAAGATGTTACTATTGTATTCACCATAGCGTCAAATAGTAATGCGATTATCTCATTTCTTACTGAGTTTCGTGGTCGCATTATAAGAGTAGTTGATGACAGTGATGCCCTTACTGTAGATGGCGTAACGGAACCGTGTGAATTGGGTTTTGCTGTCATTACGCTTCCTTCCCTTCTAACCGTCTTTTGCATTCTGTACTAATTAGTATATGACAAAGTAACGTAATAATAATATTGCTTTAACTAAAATATAATTATCTACGATATTAAATTTATTTTCTAAAACTTAAAAGCTTGAGTTACAAATAATACTTAGGTAGCAAATATTTCTGATATAAAAAATATTTCAGAGGACTGACTTTTGTTGTGAGCAACAAATGACATTGACATTGACGCAACAACAGTGTATCAAGAAACAGCAAAAAGGTTTGCCTATATTTCAGCTGGTGCAAATATTAGCCTTACAAAAAAGCAATATGAAACTTGCGCATTTGCGGATAAACAAAGAGATAAAGAAAAATAAAGAGCAGTGGCAACCCATTGGAAGATCGATTGCTTTTCAATTCGAAGCGAAGACTCGAATACCTGTATGATTTTAATTTTTAAGTTACCTATGTGGGTATATTTGTAAATTTAGGTAATGTTTGTGATGGGTTCCCTACTTGAGCCTTAACCTTAGAGCTCACGATTCATAGGTCAATTGGACAATCGTGTAAACGTTTTCGAGCAATTAATGTTCGATCAAATGGCATTCGATCTCAAGTAGGGAACCCGTTTTGTGATACCTTTTGCTAACGATCAAGGAACACGTCGGGACAGAATCTCAATATCAAAGAAGACTCATGTCCCTTGGAAAACGTGTCAAGACTCCATCTCGCATTGGGGCAGCGTGGCGGTTTATAAATTAATAAATAACGCACACACTCAACATAGCCCCGCACTAGGGAAACCCTGTGTCGCGGGTGCCATGGACACACATATAGACAGCCACAAATTACACCCAAACTCACGAGAGAAATAAATGTAGGCCATCAAACATTTCTCCCGGCCCGGGAATCGAACCTGGGACCTCTGCGTGGCAGTCCGGCATGGTAACCGTTCGGCCACGGAGGCAGTTAAATTTATGGCCAAAACACTAGTCACAAAAAATATTCAGACCCATGGGTGGGTCGTATAATGAGTTGATGATGAAAATAATATGGCGGTGTTCACTACCTCATTTTTTTCAGACAAAATTTTATATGCGCTCGTACAAAATGTGCACCTTATGATTATTGCGATACTTTCAATCACTGTATGGGATGTTTTGCCTTGCTCTTAAAACATCTTAAAATCTCGTATCGTCTAGATCAATGCCATCTTTGTTTAAAAAAATCGTTGACCATTACCCGGTAACGACTTCTGTGATGCGAGCTCCTAGCTACTTTTAAAGTTAACAATTTGAAAAATGCTGCTCAAGCAAAAATCTTGGACATATTACAGTTGGGTTACACGGGTATTCAATAATGAAAAAATGTAAAGCTATCTCTCTCACTCACTCAAAGATTGGGTTGCGTAATTTGGATTATAATCGTGATTGTGGATGGTCGGTACCACCCGGCTAGAAAACAGTGTTAGGTAAAACGTCTATGGTTGGTGTGGATGAGACTTTAGAACGTGACCTTGTTAGTGTAGTATGCAATCCTATATATCATAATTTATCTTTGATAATAGTCAAGCAATGATGGTAGTTGCTCGCCGCCGCTGCCTGCGCTTGCACCCGTACTAAGTGACCTTGTTGTCAGGGCTTTGGAGCGCATTTTCAGTCGAGTCACCGCCGTGAAAGGTAATGACTAAGGACCTCGTACTGATTCGACACATGTCGAGCAAAAATTCGACTCAAATACGTGAGTTATCCGTTAATTTAGTTAACACTGTCTAATTGAAATGGTCGTTATATAAAGTTATGTAAGAATCTGGTAGTCGATCTAGTAATATTTTGGATTACTATACTTTGTTTTTCTTTATTACCGCTAATTGGTCCCTCCGGAACTTCATCACCTCTTTCTAATTAAAAGCCATAATTTTCAATAATTACAATCAGAACCTGTTTTTATGAGCTTTATGGTAAGATGGCCTGTTATCTCCAGATACCTTCTTCCCAACTTCACAAACCTGCACCCTAACTATACGAAATAGAACACGGAATTACTATACAACTAATTCAATTCCGATTCAGATCCAAAGGAATTACGCAGATGTAACTGTCGGCAATCTGTTTTCAGAGTCAATCAGCCATATAGTCGGTCGGGTCGGTGGCGCCATCCTCACTGTCCCTGTGATTGATTGGCATCGGAACAATCCGGTAGATTAGTACAGGGAAGATAGTAAGGTACTGCTAAAAAGAGTACCTATTGCATTGACTTACTATTGTTTAAAATTAAATAGGCTATTGGATGTATATAAAACCTGTTAACTATTGATATCAACATTTTTTGTGGCGTTAAATTTAAAGCAGTTATTCTGCACTTTTAAATTCTATTAAAAATATGTGATAGTAAAGAGATGGGTGCAATAATAGAATAAAATACAATGGTATGGTAAATTAAAAATAATACTGAATGAAACCAAAGATTATATTCCCGTTTGTAAATGGATAATTAAGTAACATATAAAAATAATCACATTATTTGTAATGAGAATTTTCAGTATATTTTATTAATTTTCAAATTGTATATTTTCGGTTTCACTACTTTGAGTTACGACAATATTTAACTACATGTGCGATATATACAGAAATGAAAAAGTAATGAATACCTACGCTTTTTTGTTGTCGACTCTACCTACATTTCGACTTCTTGTGGCGTAACCATAATGTCTCTATTTTTTCCGGATCCGTGAATTTGGAGAGTGTAAAAGGGATTATGGAAAGAAGAATACAAAGTCATACCGTGCGAAAATGTGTAACTGACGACGTCTAGGCACAGTTTCTTTGAAACAACAAATATTCTTTCATGTATATTAGGTTGATGGTCAACTTAACGGCACGTCTAATAATTCTTGCGAATAAATAATTTTGTAAATTAGGTGAAAACCTAAAACATATAAATATATTTAATTATATGATTATATATATCTCTAGTTACAGATAATACACCATGGTGTAACTTATTATTTTTCCGATGTTTCCGAAGTGTTTACATATCTGGTCTGGGGCTTAATGGGAAAACCAAGCACCTTCACAAAATGTAGTGGCAATCAGATAACATCGACGCATTGCTCATCACCTAACGCAGGCGTTTATTTTTAATTACATCCAAAATGTTTATATCTCATTCACCCTACGGCCTCTGAAATTAAATTTCCTATCAAATTTTATTCAACTATTTATTATACTAAACCACTTTTTATCTATTTTCCAACAAACTCCCAAAATTAGTAAAATTGTATCGTTTTCATGCATATCTAAGTCTCAACTTCATCATTAAAATATTATATTTTGTTATATTTTTTATAGTACTCTGCAAACTTTGTAATAATATAATTGGCCAGGTAAGTGTTATTTCTATATAACTGGTTGTGGGTAGATCAAGCTACAGCTAATGAGTATTAACAAAAAATGTTCTTTTCCTGTATTATTATTGGTTGTCTAGCAACGTTTTGTTATTAAAAATTCTATGTCCAAACTTTAGATATGACTTATATACTGTATATAAGTATGGCTGCAATCAGAAAATTTTAGAGGACTTGAAATAAATATTAATGTTTTGTATTTTTGCAGACAGCTTAACAAACGGACAATAGCAAACAATATATTTTTTTAAATTTTATTCGCAACAACAACAGCCTTCAATAATGATTTAAAATGAATACTTTCAGATAAAGTTAGTCAGCGCCAATTACGTTGTCAACATTCTCATTTTCCGATATCTAAATGATGGTAACAGTTAACACGTGAAAACGAAAAAATAAACATAAATCAGCAAATCAAAAAGAGTAAGGCGATGTGAAGTGAGCGATCCTAACTTACAAAAAAGCATGCATTAAAAAATAAAAAACAAAAATGTTAATAAAAACACAAAGCAAAAAATAAATCATTTCTGTAAGTGGTACTCAGTACTGTATTCAAATTTCAGTTATTTTCAAATAGGACTGTGCCCAATTTTCTTCTAAAGCTATGCTTAGATCCTACAAAAGGATCCAGTGTATAAAATTTTTGATTAAAAGTAAATTGTACTGTAAAGTGCACTGTTGAAGGGTTCTTTTCATCTGTCTGCCATTTCCATCATCGGATCATCTAAGTCACCATAACATTTTATTTTCATTTGAAGTACAAGCTAGTTTTATTAAAATCTTTGAACGTTATCACTTTCCGTTCCAAGATTAAATACAACAAGCCGAATGTAGCCTTTAGAGGTAAAATCTAGGAGCAGTACAGTTCCTTGTGATAGAGTTCGTCCAGGAAAGTACTGCCACCTTTCCAATTTCTGTTTCTTTTCAATTTAATTTCGCCAAGCAGTACTGTGAGCATTATTGCATTCTGGTTTTGAAGGGTAAGGGTGCTGGTGAAATTACAGGCACATGTCAACTTATGTCTCAGGGTGACAGGTGCAGTGGTAGTACCATCAGATCTTTGCGATTTAAAGCTCTTTGTGACATTTCCACTCTTATGGACAGGAGTGTAGATTACCATCAGGCGCAGGACATAGGACACAGGAGGAGGAATAGAGTAACATGAACAAGAAACAAACATAGGAAATGGAACTATTTATCCGTATTTAAATCGCGTATATTTGTTCTAAGTATTATAAACTAAGTATTCCGTTTTCCAAACTTTGTTTTGTGACCAATCGAGTGTAAAAAAATTGTTCATAGATATAAAATACAGTTTTTTAGATATGCCTTTTAATAAGTGTCTAATTAAAACTATTTTTTCGGATCGACATTTCACATATTTGTTTTTTCAAACAAACCTACGTTTCGGGCCCTTTACAGGTCCCATAGAACCTGAAAAGGGCATTAAAAAAAATAGTTTTATTTCCTATCGCGAAAACCTAAGAACTGGATAAAAAATAAACGAAAATTCCTCCTTTTTTTAAATCATAGACGTACATAACTAATATCATTTTGAAGCCAATGTCAAATATAAATAGAATCACAAACAAATAAATAATATCACAAATAGAGGAAACTAT